TGCATGTCCCCGAACTCACAGTGTCTGTGTTTGGGGACACACACCCAAACAAATGTCAGATTGGGAACAGTGTCTGTACAGCCGCTGCATCCTAATACACATAAATAGGACTGCCTGCGCAGAACACCAAACTCAGCCCTTGCATGGATGTACGTGTAGGTATGCTCATGTGAATGAGGCCTGAAGGGAAATATGTTGTTGCTATGGGCAAAGAGTTAAAAGGAGTACAGCCAGAGCTCTTTTGGCTGTACTTCTGTGGGTCACAGGAGTTCAGTTCATTCTTCACTCTTGTGACCCTTTTTCTGCTGACAGTGGGCTAAAGCCTGCTGTCAGCTGACGTCACAAAGCTGGTCCAGGCTCTGAAAGGATCTCAATCATATGGTCAGGATCCACCCAAGAACCTGGACTGGCACCTGGTTCTGCCTCTGAGCCGCTGATAGCTTAAGCCAGCCACTCCCGCCCCGTCCACAGCCCAGTGCTCTAGTGAGTGCTGGAGGGGCAGAGCAGACTGGCAATCACCGCTCTCTGCTCAGAGCAGAGGGGAAAACTGAGCGAGCAGCAATGTTTGATTGCTCAATTCTCAGCCTTAGAGTAGGAAGGGGAATAGATACAGCATCATATTGATGATGTATCCACATAGGTAAGTATCATTTGGGGAAAAAAAAACAAAACGCATACTTCTCTTTTAATTTGTATTTGCTATGAAGAGCTAGACAAACCACAGGTGCCAGTTCTAGAGAAGAGCAAATAACCTTTCTTTTGATATTAACAAAGGTAATTTTTTTTCAAATCTGTCGGCAAGCTACTAAATTGGACTCTGTGCCTCTATGATGGCGGCTAACTCTACTACTACTAATTGACAGAATATGGTCTTTGATAAGTTTGTTAGTGTTCGATGTCCGTAGATTTCATGTCTATAGATAGAGAACTCGGGTTACTTGCTTTATAGTGCAGCCTGTGAATATGCAGCCTTGGTGCATTAATAAACATCAAGGGGAAGATTTCCTAAAACTGGTGCAGCTGTGCATTATAACCAATCAGCTTCTAACTTCAACTTGTTCAAGTAAAGTGTTACTAAACCCACAACAGTAAAATCAGTCTGTACATGTAGTAAAGCATGCTTGTTATACTCACTGTGGAACCTAAGGGGTTAATCTTCTGCATTGTGTAAATTGTGGATGTTTGATCCTGTCTTCTCTGATCGTCCCCTTCTTCCACAACCCCCAATCCATCTGCTGATAGAACAGAGCCTTGGGGGCACGCTGCACATGCTCAGTTTGTTGTGTATTACTAGAGAGTTTTTTTTTTTTTTTTTCCCTCTTGGGAGGGTGCATGTGATCAGCAGAAGGCCAATCAGTACTGTCCAGACAAAGGCGCCAGGGTCCTGCAGCCTCATAGGACAATCAGGGGAGAATGAAAACTAGTAGAAGTCACAAGACTTCTATATACTGATGAGAAAGGCTATTTAGCAGTTTGTCTTCTCTGATCGTCCCCTTCTTCCACAACCCCCAATCCATCTGCTGATAGAACAAAGCCTTGGGGGAAAGCTGCACATGCTCAGTTTGGTGTGTATTACTAGAGTTTTTTGTTTTCTCTTGGAGGGTGCAATGTGATCAGCACAGGGCCAATCAGCACTGTCCAGACAAAGGCTCAGGGGTCCTGCAGCCTCATAGGACAATTAGGGGAGAATGAAAACTGATAGAAGTCACAAGACTGCTCTAACTGCCAATGAGAAAAGGTATTTAGCAGTTTATATTTACTAAAATAATTACACTTCCATGTTGTGTGTACTGTGGGAGACCAGATAGAGAGAATGCAGGGTCCTGGGTATAGTAACACTTAAAACTTTGGCAATAAAACCTGAAAGCTGATTGGTTTCTGTGCAGAATTGCACCAGACGTTGCACTCTCCATCCTTAGTAAATGGCCCCGTATGATTCAGGTGAGTGACACGGCTGCTTGTTACTTAGAATAATGACAGTGGTTAGTTGTAATGGGCTCCCGCTCTCACCATACCTATTAGAGGTTGATGTGGATTGATATGGTGGAAAGGCTGCTGTGTATGGTGCTCCCTCCCCTGCCCCCGTGGCTCATGCTGTTTCCTGTAATCCTGCTTCCATGGGATTATGTGCGTCTGTACAGGGCCAGCTAAGCGCTGCTCAGTTTTCCAACCGCTTGCCTGCTAATACAGGAAGAGCCCTGTAATCCATGCGTACAGGAGGACGCGTTGGCTGCAGGTTGCTTTGATCCCTTGCTAGTTTGGGTTTAAGTGTCAGGCAGCCATTTTGTTCCAGAACTGCGTCATTAACCCTTTCACATGCATCTGACCACAGCTGGTGCGAGGCTACTCTGTCCGGGGAAGAATGAGTGATGTTTATTTCTGAGATCATTAGGGACTGACTAAAAAGCTGATTTGCAAATCTGTGAGCCCCTCTCTCCCCCCCACCACCACCAATCACTCCCTGCAGTTCTCTGCCTTTTTCGCAGCCTTCAGTCCCAGGTCCACCAAGGTGCCTGGCTGTCATATTGTGCGATGACTACACAGTCAGGAAATCAGCAGATGCCAGTAAAGGGTTGAAGGTGGTAATTCCTCCCAGCGGAGACGCTTCCAGGAGGTTTGACGCATTAAGTGTCACTGATCTGTCCCCTCTTGGGAAAAGTGCAGCGCAGGCTTCACAAGGCCCCCCTTCCCTCCTCAGCATCTCCCTGTCCGGGTTGGGTTTATGCAAGGGAAGCTGCTTGAAAAGGTGACCTTTGCAATGTTTACAGAGCATGCTCTTTGAGCCAACCCGGCTGCAGCTTCTGCCTGCTTTGCCTGCAAGCTGTAATCTGCTTATAGGTGCATTGTCATAGCAACAGGCCCAGAGAGCAGCAGCCTGGGCACACCGGGACTCTGTTTGTGCTACCTGAGGGGCGGGATGCTGGAGGAGGAGGGGGAAGGATGCAGTAGCCAGCTATTTGAGACCAGATTTTATTCCACCGATTGCCAGTTCTGCCCCTGAGCCTGGAATGATCGCAATTCAGCCCGTTCGGTAATATTCCAAGATTGTGAGCACATCTTATCCCAGCCAAGATGCCCGGCCTGGTTACCTGCCATTCCTCCCGGCCTATTCAATTCCCTGCCGGCGTGTGACCTCTGACCCCGGTGCAAAGCAGCGATGGATGGCTGAGGTTTTGTGACATGAGTCCTAGCTATGATTTGGTCCTGCACAGCAAGGTGGCTGTATAATTGCTTCATGTAAGTTGCATTTTCTTGTGTATCACAGCATGCCTACTCTACTTCTATTCCCTGTGTTACAATGGAGGTAATTAATGGCTGATAAAAATGTCATTATTTCATTGTTCTGATTGTGTGATGTGCGGCTCTATTGTACAAACTGCTAAAGTGATTCTGAAAGGCAGAACTTTATGACTTTGTTTTTTTTGTTTTAAGTAATCAAACTTATTTTAACTCACCCCTTTAAGATTTTTAGATTTACACGGAGCTGGCTATGTTTTCAGAATATTAGGATTGACCTTCAAAAAATGATTTTCCCCATTTTTTATATTTAAAAAAAAAAAAAAATCTTTGTTCGAATACTGTCGGTGTAAATTTCCTGAATACTCATTTTTTTTTGCTATTTTTCTTTGCTATTTTTTGCTTTTTTCCTTTTTTTGCTATTTTTCTTTCCTTTTTTTTTGCTATTTTTTTTTCCTTTTTTTTTTTTGCTATTTTTCTTTCCTTTTTTTTTGCTATTTTTCTTTCCTTTTTTTTTTTTTTTCTTTCCTTTTTTTCTTTTCCTTTTTTTTTGCTATTTTTCTTTCCTTTTTTTGCTATTTTTCTTGTTCTTTTTTTTTGCTATTCTTTTTTTTAATTGTTTTATTTTATTTATTGCCACTAGCACTGTGTACAGAACATACCATGTGGTCTGCAAGTAATATAATGTGTTTATAGATGTAAAAAAAAGAATACTAACAAAAACTGAACTTTCTATAAATGTTTTTTTGTGACCCCCTGCTGTCATCTCAATCTACAAAATTGATAAGGTGGTGCTTAAATGATAATAAAATGTCTAACAAAACAGGTGCTATAGCGTAAGTTACATTGTATGTTTGTCTTTAAAGTGCAAAAAAATGAACTTTTTTTTTTTTTTTTTTTTTTTTTTTTTTTTTTTAAGTGGGGAAGACTTGGAAGGTATTTTTTTTTTGTTTTATTTTTGTTTGTTTTGTTCCTGTATGTATCCCCTTCTTCACTTTCTGTTCAAATGATAGTTGTTTCCGGGACAGGAAGTGGAAGTGAATCTGTCAGGAGCCCAGAGTAACAACCAGAAAGAAATTCTGAGCCCTACCGTTGTCTTCTATGAAGATGTTTCCAGTCATCCTGTCTTGATGACCACTGTAACTGGGACAGGGAATAGGACAAAGAAACAAAACCTGACAGAGGTTCTAAAGCTTGGCCATACATGGATCACAATTTGGCTGGTTCAGCAGGAACTGGCCAAATTGGGATCCATGTATGGCCATATTGTCCTAGTGATGAACTCCTCCAAAAGGGGACTGTCAGTATATTTTCACTTGATCAGCACTTGTGGCTGTGGACTGCAGCGCTGATCCGTGTATTCTGGCAGCAGAGGATTCCCGCTGCCAGCATACAATAGCATAGTGGGGGATTCCCCCATCTACCTAGAATGTGTGCATGGGGGTGGGGGGGGGAGTAGTCTTGGGGTTTTTTGATCAGCTACCTGGCCGATCCGAAAAAAAAAATAAAAATAAAAAAACTATTTATGACCAGCTTTACCTTCAAAACCGTTAATAAAACATAAAATGTCATTACAGTTTGGCAGGTGTCTTCTTAAACTATATAGTTGATCATCATTAGGCCATTTGCTGAAAACCATTGTGTGGGCCAGCCGTGTTCTCAACATGTCTTTGTGTATAAATGACATAATTTACAAATGAATGGGTATTTCCCATGTTCTAGGGATCAGCAGCTGTTTTCATTACAGGCTTTTCTTAATGCAGGTCACGTGGGTTACCTAAACTGAAAGAATCTCGTTCCCATGAGTCCTTGCTTAGCCCAGGCAGTGCAGTGGAGGCTCTGGATTTAGGGACAGAAGATAAAATCCTGGTGAAGCCACTACACAGCAGCATATTGGGCCAAGACTTTTGTTTTGAGGTAAGGCAGTATGTATTTTTTATGAGGCTGATTGTAAATGATTAACTCTGATCAGAGAGTGACCTTTTGATTTATTCCCTTTTTTTTTTTCTCTTTCTACTTGTCAATACGCTCCTGTCAGGTCACTTACTCCAGCGGCAGCAAATGTTTTAGCTGCTCATCTGCAGCAGAGAGAGATAAGTGGATGGAAAATCTGCGGAGAACTGTCCAACCTAACAAGGTAAGCGGCTAGGAAAACAAGCACACTACTGATCTTTTTCATCATCCTCAATCTCTTTTCAACAGTAACATAACTAATGAGCAGCGCGGCAGTGATGTGCTACTAAAAGGCAGCGCCAGGCACCTGTAAACACTCAGAAGAACATGTTGTTTTTATTTGATTTTATTTTCATCTGAAGCTGTATAAGCATTAACAGGTGAAATCAGATCTTGCAGCTCAGAGCGCCTTTCCTGATCAGGTTGTTGGGGATAGAATGTGCGCAGACTATGGAATTGCAATGTCTGTTAGTTGGTTTGCATAAATCCCCTTCATAAGAGCAGGAACTTGTTGGATCTGCTTTTATTTCCTGCTATAGGCCCAATACTTTCAAACCATGCATCCAAACCAGAAAAGCAGGCATGATGCAGTAGTTTTGCTTTGCATACCTTTTACTACATTTTTTGTTTGATTTTGGAATTTTATAGCTTTTGGTGGTTAATGTATACTGTCACTGTTGGGACACTACTGTAAAAAGACTAATATTGGCCATAGATGAGACACGTTTTCAACCAGTCCAATAATGTCTGCTGATAGTAATCTTACATGTGTAGGCATGGAGCAGTTACTATTGTGTTTTTTGCACATTTAGCATCTGTAGCATTATTTTGGATTATATGCCAGCATGCTGAAAAATAATAAGGGCCTTCAGGCTGGTGAAATTGTTAGCCTGAGGCTGGCCATGCACATAGATTTTTCTCGTTCGGCCCCACGGGTTAACCAAAGAAATCAATCTACTCCCCCGTCTGTGCTAAACTGTATGGATGGAGGAGTCTCCACTGATGGCTATTGTATTTGGACAGGCGCAGCAACCAGCTGCTTGAATACCGAACCATTGACTGCATCTTATAGGATGCAGCCACAGTTTGGCCAATCATTTTCCACCTGGCTCAGTCAATTTCAGTAAAATTTTTGTTGAGCTGGATGATGCTGTGAGGGCAGGCAGTGGCTTGAATTTTAAATCTACGTTAAAGTATATGTGAATCCCTACCCGTAAAACAACCCTTTAGTTTAAAATAAATTTGAAAGGAAAAACACATAAACAAAAACTATTTTTTTTTTTATAAGTGATCACATAACATCTCTTCTCAGCTGCATACGGGGCTTAGAGAGGTGGGTGTGGAAAAGCCACAGTACACTTCCCAGTGAATGGCTGTGAAGGGGGGGGGAGATGTCAGCACAAGTCTGACCATTGGACTACAGGCATTCTGTGCTCCCAGCACAGCCAGAAAACTGACCATGCTGGGATGGATGTGCTTCCATGCCAAGTGTGGGCAGTTTAAAATAGGAAAGCATGGGGAGAAGCAGGATCACCAGGTATTTCATACAAGGAAGCAATATAAAGAGAATAGGATTCTTTTTAACACAAGTATATTACAACAGACACATATAAAGAACATGAAATGCTGTACTCTTTAAAGTAGTCGTAAAGCCTGAAGATTTTTTACCTTTATACATTCTATGCATGAAGGTAAAAATGAACCTTCAGTATACAGCTTCCCTTATAGCCCCTTTAATTATCTGAGCTCCATCCCGGTCCAGCAATGTGCATGAGTGCGGCTGTTATCCTAGCTCTTTGCCTCATCATTAGCTCCTGCTGCTGTCAATCACAAGTGACTAATGTGAATGAAATATAAATAAATATATATATGTGTGTGTATGTATGTGTGTATATATATATATATATATATATATATATATATATATATATATATATATATATATATACTTATATACTTTAAATGGTGATCAGCCAAGGCTGCTTAACCTTTTCTGGATCAGGCACAGCTATGTGTTTAGGTTTTTCTTTTTTATTTAACATTTTTAATACACATTAACAATTAACTACAGCTTTTCTTAAATAACTTCAGACGACTTCTAGACATATCAGGAGTTAATGATGCTGCTTAAAATAGACCCAGCAGCACATAAGAGTTTAAATCAAATGTGTCACTATGAATTAGCCTTTCATGAAAGAAATCCATATACCATACAAGCTTTTAGTGTCGTTTACATTTATGTTGCTCTGCATCCTTCTTCTTTTTGCTGCCAAAAGGCACTAATGGAAGTTAAATTCCAAGTTGCAGAGAATGGTGCTCAATACATCACAATTCTAGAAGTTTAGAGAGTGAATTACTATGCATCTATATGTATTTATGGTGACAATTTGCTTCCTTTTTCTATGAAGAAAAAGACAACATAATCCTTAACACGGGCACACACTTGAATGTTGCCTTAAAGCTACGGTATTGTGTTGGAATACATAAAGAAAAAGTAATGCTAAAGCCTGATGTTTCCTGTGTAATTCAAAGTTTATTTCAGTTTTGACTGGAGAATTCTCTTTACACTTGGCTTAGAAATACCTCTAACCTGTTGATTTTTCACCTTCAGGACAACTGCCGAAGGGCGGAAAATGTACTGCGGCTGTGGATTATCGAGGCCAAAGACCTGGCCCCCAAAAAGAAGTATTTCTGCGAGCTCTGCCTGGACGACACACTCTTTGCCCGTACCACAAGCAAAACAAAAGCAGACAATATCTTTTGGGGAGAGCACTTTGAATTCTCTGGATTGCCCCCTATCCACAATATCACTGTGCACATCTATAAGGACGTAGAGAAGAAAAAGAAAAAGGATAAGAACAATTATGTGGGCTTAGTGAACATCCCAATGGCAGTGTGACTGGCAGACAGTTTGTAGAGAAGTGGTATCCTGTGAGCACACCTACCGCTAACAAAGGCAAAACTGGGGGACCTTCGATACGTATTAAATCCCGCTATCAGACAATCACTATCCTGCCTATGGAGCAGTACAAAGAATTTGCTGAATTTATTACAATTAATTATACCATGCTATGTTCTGTGCTGGAGCCAGTGATCAGTGTCCGCAATAAGGAGGAGATGGCCTGCGCGCTGGTCCATATCCTACAGAGCACTGGCAGAGCCAAGGTAAGAACATCTCTGTAGTTCCTTGGAGCTTTATATCTCCTTGTTATGTTTCAGTGTGGTGTGTTTTAATCAGAATTGAGCAAATATGGTTAGTTGGGTGAAAGACTGGCTGCATTTTCACAGTTCTGTTTGAACACGTACAGGGATATGTAACATAAACGGGATCTCTCTGCTTCAGGCTACCCTCTGCATTCACACCTGCACATTGCAGGAACACGTGTTCCCTCTTGCATTTTTTAATGCATTTTTCACTTGAATGTGCTGCCCTATGTGTGACGAACACACCAAAGAAGCTCCAGAATGTTTTTGGGCATGGAACGTTGAGCTTTTTGTCAGTGTGACCTTTGGCGCATTTGGCAAACCAGGCTTGGGGTGCCATTAACTATTAATAGCAATACAAGCATGATGCGCATTTGCAGCGTGTTTCCAAAACATGTCTCCTATGTGTTTTGTCTCACATTCAGAAAATGCGAAACAATGTACAATGCCTTAGGGCTCATTCACACCAGTGTGCAGAGACATCAGTTTTTCTGCACAAGTTCTGCAAGGGCACAATACGATCAATTGTTCCCTATGTGCCCTGTTCACAACACTAGTATCCCGTGCAGATTTTTTCTGTGTAGGAATCTGCGATGTGTATTAAATTCATTGAAGCGCAGATGAAAACGTGAAAACTGATGTTAACTGATGTCTCTGCAAGTGAAATCTGTGCATCAGTTTCCATAAATTTTTCTGCGCATATGGTGTGAATGAGGCCTTAAAGTGTTGACCTCTTCAGAAAATATGAAAAAGTGAATTAACATCATACACCCTCCCCAAAAAAATTTTTTTTTAAAATTTTTTTACAGTTCTACTTTTGTGCAGGCTGCATGAAAAATTGACACATTGTCTTTACAGGAACTTGGTTTGCTTTGAGCTTTTCCAGGCAATATTTTACTGTGTAAAAGCTGTGACACTTATTTTCTGTCATCTTCTGGGTTCTCGTATGATAAGGTCAGCCTGTGGTCCACTGAGACATATCCTAGAGTCCTAACTGCTGGAACATTATCTTCTAATGTTTCAGGGACAGTTTATTGAATGCGCTAAGATTTCGGGAAGAAGGCGGGTCATGTTCCATTGTGTCATCTTTTACTTCTTTCAGTGCTGAGTAATGCCTGACATTATGGAATATGGAATTGTAATTAGTTTTATTATTTTTGTTTCTGCAAGTGACGTCTTTCTGGAGGACCCATTTGTGTCCATTTCTAAGCTGCCATAGGTATGCAGGTGGCCCTGGCAGCTGCAGAAAACTGGAAGTGCATGCCCCATATCACAGCCATTGTATTACCCAAGGCTACTTCAGGGTGCCAAAGGGCCCAGTGCAAAGGTCTCTGTGAATGTGTCCCTAACTCCATTGGTAAAAAAAAAATCCTTAAATCTTAAAACAATGTGCACCTTACAGAAGTTACATTCTGGATTAAGCTTGGAAATATCACAATGATACCCCTATAAATGTTAGCATCAATGTGGGTTTATTGACAAACATTGACTAATTATTTATATATATATATATATATATATATATATATATATATATATATATAGTGAAGGAAATAAGTATTTGATCCCCTGCTGATTTTGAATGTTTGCCCACTCATGAAGAAATGATCAGTCTAAAAATCGAATGGTATGTGTATTGTAACGCTGAGAGACAGAATAGCAACAAAAAAATTCAAAAGAAATGCATGTCTAACAAATTGTACACTGATTTGCATGTTCATGAGGGAAATAAGTATTTGATCCCCCATCATTCAGCAGGATTTCTGGCTACCAAGTGTCTTTCATACAGGTAACAAGATGAGATTAGAAGCAGTCTCTTAAAGAGAGTGCTGCTAATCTCATTTTGTTAGCTGTATAAAAGACACCTGTCCACAGGAGCAATCAAACAATCAGATTCCAAACTCTCCACCATGGCAAAGACCAAAGAGCTGTCCAAGGATCTCAGGGACAAGACTGTAGACCTACACAGCTTGGTGAGAAGGTGACCAAAGTTGGTGCAATCATTCGCAAATGGAAGAAACACAAAACAACTGTCAGTCTCCCTAGGTCTGGTGTACAATGCAAGATCTCACCTCATGGAATGTCAATGATCATGAGAACAGTGAGGAACCATCCCAGAACTACACTGAGGATCTAGTCAATGATCTCCAGGCAGCTGGGACCACAGTCACCACAAAAAAACAATTGGTAATACACTACACCGACAAGGATTGAAATCCTGCAGTACCCGCAATGTCCCTCTGCTCAAGAAAGCACATGTCCAGGTCCATCTGAAGTTCGCCATTGAACATCTGAATGATGCAGAACAGAACTGGTTGAAAGTGTTGTGGTCAGATGAGACCAAAATCAAGCTCTTTGGCATCAACTCAAATCGCCATGTTTGGAGGAGGAGGAATGCTGCCTATGACCCCAAGAACACCATCAAAACTGTCAAACATGGTGGGTGGAAACATTCTGCTTTGGGGGTGTTTTTCTGCTAAGGACAACTGCAGGACAACAGGACAACTGCACCGCATCAAAGGGACGATGGACAGGGCAATGTACTATCAAATCTTGGGTGAGAACCTTCTTCCCTCAGCCAGGGCATTGGTAATGGGTCGTGGATGGGTGTTCCAACATGACAATGACCCAAAACACACAGCCAAGGCAACAAAGGAGTGGCTCAAGAAGAAGCACACCTAGCCAGTCTCCAGACCTTAATCCAATTGAAAATCTGTGGAGGGAGCTGAAAGTTCGAGTTGCCAAACGTGAGCCACCAAACTTTAATGACTTGGAGAGGATTTGCCAAGAGGAGTGGGCCAAAATCTTTCCTGAGATGTGTGCAAACCTGGTGGCCAACTACAGGAAACATCTGACCTCTGTGATTGCCAACAAGGGATTTGCCACCAAGTACTAAGTCATGTTTTGTGAAGGGGATCAAATAGTTATTTCCCTCATGAACATGCAAATCAGTGCATAATTTGTTAGACATGCATTTCTTTAGAATTTTTTGTTGCTATTCTGTCTCTCTGTTACTATACACCTACCATTCGATTTTTAGACTGATCATTTCTTTGTGAGTGGGCAAACATTCAAAATCAGCAGGGGATCAAATACTTATTTCCTTCACTGTATATATATATATAAAATAATATTGTATATATTTTTGTTTAGGAAAGTTTTGTTTATAATCACATTGGTCTTAATGCGGTATGCGGTATTCCAGCACTCAGTCTTTTTGGGGAGGAGTCTATCAGCATGGTACATCTTGACTTGGCAATATTTGCCCACTCTTCCTTGCAAAAACACTCCAGATCTGTCAGATTGTGAGGGCATCTCCTGTACACAGCCCTCTTCAAATCACCCCACAGATTTTTCGATCGGATTCAGGTCTGAGCTCTGGCTGGGCCATTCCAAAACTTTAATCTTCTTCTGGTGAAGCCATTCCTTTGTTGATTTGGAGGTATGCTTTGGGTCGTTGTCATGCTGAAAGATGTTCTAGTAGAAGCCTGAAGGTTTTGTGCCAATATTGACTGGTATTTGGAACTGTTCATAATTCCCTCTACCTTGACTAAGGCCCCAGTTTCAGCTGAAGAAAAACTGCCCCAAAGCGTGATGCTGCCACCACCATGCTTCACTGTGGGTCGGTTGTTCTTTTGATGATGTGCAGTGTTTTTGTGCCAAAACATTTATTTTGGAATTCTGGCCAAAAAGTTAAACTTTGGTTCATCAGACCATAACACATTTTCCCACATGCTTTTGGGAGACTTCAGATCTGTTTTTATAAAATTTAGCTGGGCTTGGATATTTTTCTTTGTAAGAAAAGGCTTCGTCTTGCCACTCTACCCCATAGCCCAGACATATGAAGAATATGAGAGATTGTTGTCACATGTACCACACAGCCAGTACTTGCCAGATATTCCTGCAGCTCCTTTAATGTTGCTGTAGGCCTCTTGGCAGCCTCCCAGACCAGTTTTCTTTTTGTCTTTCCGTCCATTTTGCAGTGCTGTCCAGTTCTTGGTAGTGTCACTATTGCGCCATATTTTCTCCACTTGATGATGACTGTCTTCACTATGTTCCATGGTATATCTAATGCCTTGGAAATTCTTTTATACCCTTCTCCTGACTGATGCCTTTTAACAAAGAGATCCCTCTAATGCTTTGGAAGCTCTCTGCGGACCATTTTGCTGTAGGACGCTACTAAAAAAATGTCAAAGACCTACTAGAACAGCTGAACTTTATTGGGGTTATTCAGAGGCACGTTAACTGATGGCAGGTGTGTACTGACTCCTATTTAACATGTGATTGCTTAATTCTGAACACAGCTACATCCCCAATTATAACAGGGTGTGCACACTTATGCAACCACATTATTTAGTTTTTTTTATGTTTACTTCCCCCCTCTAAAAGATTTCAGGTTTTTTTTTCAACTGAGTTCTACAGTTTATAGGTCACATTAAAGGTGGAAAAAGTTTTGAAATGATTTATCTTTGTCTCTTTTTTTTACGTCACAGAAACCTGACATTTTAACAGGGGTGTGTAGACTTTTTATATCCACTGTAACTAAAGAAATGTAAAAATATGTTTAAAACAAGCAAATATGATATACCTTCCTATCTGTTTACTATTGCTAGTAATCCAAGGATTCAAAATAGTCAATCCTGACTGAGAGAGTAAAGTTCTACTTTAAAGTGGAGTTCCACCCAAAAGGGGAAGTTCCACATTAATGCTTTGTCCCCCGCTCCCCATTATGGATTGACAACTTTGTGATCACCTAGGCAGTCGGAAGCGGAAGTTGTCCTCCCTCCCCGTAGTCTTTTGGAACACGTGACAGGTCCCAGAAGACTACAGGACCATTCACAAAGCGCAGTGCTTCTCGCGCATGCGCAGTGGGCACTCGGCTGTGCAGCCGCAAGCTGTCACAGCCAGGTGCCCACACTAAAGATGCCAGCACCAGGGAGAGAAGATGGCCAGTGAAACCA